GATGTACTCTGCATATAAGTTAAATAAGCAGGGTGACAATATACAGCCTTGATGTACTCCTTTTCCTATTTGGAACCAGTCTGTTGTTCCATGTCCAGTTCTAACTGTTGCTTCCTGACCTGAATACAGGTTTCTCAAGAGGCAGGTCAGGTGGTCTGGTATTCCCATCTCCCATTTACCCATCTACTAAATAGGTGGCATGAGTCTAGAAGAGAAAGAAGGAGAAAGTCAAATAAGGAAAAGCAGTAAAAGGACACATTGGCGAGATGGAGATCAGAACCTAGACTAGGGCAGGGCGGCACACAGGTCCCTCATTTGAAAAGACCCTGATGCTGGGAAAGATTGAGGGCAGAAGAAGAGGGCAACAACAGAGGATGAGATGATTGGATGGCATCACCGACTTAATGGACATGGGTTTGGGTGAACTCCGGGAGTTGGTGATGGACAGGGAGGCCTGGCGTGCTGCAGTCCACTGGGCCGCAAAGAGTCGGACACGACTGAGCGACTGAAATGAACTGAACTGAACTGTACACAGGTCCACATGGAAGTCAGGAAAACACTGGGGTGAAGGAACAATCTTTGAAACACTGTCTCCCGGGAAGAGTTGAACACTGACTGTAGTATTATAGTCAGTAGCTATAAGTTAACAGATTTTAACCCATTTTGAACTTATTGGCTATTTAGAGTTACTGATTCTGCAAAATATTTTCACTTTGTTTCTATAACTGATAAAATATATGTACTCCAATATCAAAATATGTGCATATATAGCCATCTTTATGAATATATTAAGAAATAAATATAAAGGTGTAAGTCTCTGGAATGTACTAAATAATACAAATTGAAGAACATTATTAAGCCATGTAATGGCACATTTTGTTTGTTGACACAGTAATTAAGTTTGGTTTAAACTCTGAGTACAATTAATTTTTGAGATCCATGCTGAAGTAGAGAAGAAAATCTTTTTCAAAGAAACATCTAAATTTTAAATATCATGGACTTTGCAGAACAAAACCAGGTATTATCATTGTCTCCAAAGTAAAATCTCATTTCATAACAGAATTCAATTTATAGAACATCACAGAATAGCAGATGTTACAGTAAGCATTTTGACAAATCAATCAATATTTCAACTAAAATCAGCTTAAAGTTGCATTCATAGCCACACTTTGTAAAGCACTTACTGTAATGCCAGCTATGTGTTTTGAATACATTATGTCACTTATCATGCCAGTTATATAAAAAGAAGCAATATTAGCCCTATTGCAGAGATGATGTCCCAGGTCATTCCTGAAACCAGCAGAGTTGGAAACCAGCCAAGATATCCCAACCTCAGAGTGCTCGCTATGAACCTCCATGCTTCCTGTTAGAATAAATGCACATTATCAAATTAAGTAATGGATGCACTCTTGTGTTGATGTCTGTTGGTGGAATTTTTTAGTCAGTTCAGCCTTGTAGCAAATGTAAGAATCATAAGATGTTACAGAAACAAAGACACCAACACTCGCACATGAGGCCGCTCATAGTGCTCCCCTTTCCTCATCCAACTCGAGTGATGACACAGGTACAGACTAGCGGAGGTGTGAGTTGGCCTGATGAGAAATAAGCAAGCATTTTAAAATTATTATTATAATAAATATAATGAAGTTTCTCAGCACAGTCCCTTTTGAAGCATTTTTATATGGCTTTCAGTGGTTTTCTAAGAGCCCCCTTTTTTTATAACAGACTTCATAACATATCTAAATTGGTTGTCCAGTTTTGAAGTTTTGAACTGTGGTCCATGTTGCTTTCCAAGTACCTTTGTAAATTAAGAATTGCTCTCCTTTGGGGTTCAGAAACTGGAGCAACTTTTTTCTTGTTTTCCTTCCCTCCCTTCTTCCCTCTCCCCATCCCTTCTTTCTTTCCTTCCTTCTCTCTCTTTTTTTTTTTTTTTCTTTTGGCCTTCTGCAGAGGATATCATACCTAAATAGTGGTTTCTATTGACATCTTTTCATCTTGTATTGGTGTATATTTACACTTCCTTTTCACATGTCTTTCAAATTTTGTACTTTGATGGGCAAATAATAATACTAATCATTTTGACTGAATTCAAATGTAGTATGGAGGTTTTCCTGATGGCTCAGTGGTAAAGAATCTACCTCCCAATGCAGGAGACACAAGAGATGCAGGTTCAGTCCTTGGGTCGGGAAGATCACCTAGAGTAGGAAATGGCAACCCACTCCAATATTTTTGCCTGAAAAATTCGATGGACAGAGGAGCCTGGTGGGCTACAGTCCATAGAGTCACAAAGAGTCAGACATGACTGAGCACATACAATGCTAATAACAACATATGAAAAGTCAATTTTTATTTCACTATTTCAGTGGCCATTTCAAGTAAAATATAAGTCATCCTATCTTAAAATCAGCATAGTCCTTCCTTTCCTTTGTGAGTTACTTTCACATTCCCCTTCTCCCTTCTGGGGATTTGAGATCAGCCAGGGAGCTTTCTTTGCCCATTAAATCTGCCTTAGGGGCTCCAGACTCAATGCTGCAATTTCTCTCAGTTCTTGCAGGACTTGTGACTGATAGTGCTCATGGGATCTTATCTATTATCAACAATTACAAAGTTCTATATGTGTATTTTCTTCCCTGATAAACCTGAAAGTTTCTTATGACAATAAATGCTTGATGTGACAAGCCAGGAATCTGCCTTTACTGAAGTTATTTCCCTCCTGGGGAATAACATCCTGCTAGTCATATATTGCTTTTTCTTGGAGATCTCTTTGAAGAAGATATTGCCTGTTGGATTGTGGCACTACACAGCTATTGGCATCTCATCTTTAATGTCTCTAACATTGACTACCTAAGCAGTGATGTCATCTAAAAGTTATAAGACATTCTCTCTGTTGATAAAAACTTAGCAGTTCTTCAGAGTCAGTGTCACAGCATATAAGGAATATGTTAAGCCATATTTTAATTAAATTGACTGTTATTTCAAAGATTGCTGTTTCTATGCTCAGTTAGCATAGAATCTGCCTTCAATGCAGGAGACCCTGGTTCAATTCCTGGGTTAGGAAGATCCACTGAAGAAGGGATAGGCTAACCACTCCAGTATTCTTGGGCTTCCCTTGTGTCTCAGCTGGTAAACAATCCACCTGCAATGTGGGAGACCTGGGTTTGATCCTTGGGTTGGGAAGATCCTTAGAGAAGGGGAGGGGTATCCACTCCAGTATTCTGGCCTGGAGAATTCCATGGACTGTATAGTTCATGGGATTGCAAAGAGTCCAATGCAACTGAGCAACTTTCACTTTCAAAAAGATTAATAAGCAAAACATACAATTGCAATGGGCACATAACCTTCCTAATGCAATAAAACTTTTCAGATTTCACTATTTATTTAGATAACTCAGGATTTTTTTTTTCTGAACTTGCATTTGTGCCCAGGCTTCTAAAATGTCATTTTTGTTCCTATAGCATTTGAAGAGTGTTTTACTTGCTTCATTTAAAACATAAGATTTTATGAACTATCAGAACTTCTTAAATGTTGTATTAGTCTTCTAGTGTTACCATAACAAAGTACCATAACAGAGAGAAGGTGACTTAAACATCAGAAATTTATTATCTCCCAATTATGGAGGTGCCAGCAGGATTGATTCCCTCTGAAGCCTCTGTCCTTGGCTTGTATATGGCCACTTCCTTTGTCTTGACTAGGAGGATATTGTATGTGTCTGTGTTAATCTCTTCTTACAAAAACAACAGTCATATGAGATTAGGATCCCCCTTTGCAAACTCATTTTAACTTAATTTCCTCTTTAATAGGGTACTGAGGGTTAGGACTTCACTGTATGAATTTTGGGGGGGATACAAATCAGCTCATAATGCTCTTTGCTCTGTGACACCCCTCAAAAAAATTCATGCCCACACATGTAAAATATATGCATTCCATCCCAATAATTCTAGGATTCTTAGCTCATCCCAGCATCAACTTCAAGTCCGAGTCTCATCTGAACATCAGCTAAACCAGGTGTGAGCAAGAGAGGAAGTGTGAATCATCCTGAGGCAAATTCCTTTATAGCTCTGAACTTGGGTAACAGGAAAATAAGTTATCTAATTCTAAACTACAGTGTTGGAATAGGCCTAGCACAAGCACTCACATTAAAAAGGGAATGATAAGATAGAAGAGCTCTGCAGACCTAAGCATGTCTGAAAATAAACAAGAAAAATTGTATTTTGCTTTAAGGCTCTAAAATAATCCTCTTTGTCTCCAAGCTCTGTTGTCCCATCTCCCTGGTATGGTCTTGCCCCCAGGGTCCAGCAGGGCTGCTCTCAGTCCTCTTCAGAAATGAGCAGGTGACAGTGTCACCCCTGGATGCCTGCAGGCAGTAGCAGCCCTGTTGACCTCTGAATCACTGTTGGGTGTAGTATTCCCTTTTTAAGAACAAACATTGTTCTTAATTGTTCTTAATTGTTCTTACATTGCTCTTAAAGTAATTATCCAATTACATCTGGATAGAAGTGTTGGTCTATTCTATAGAATCCTGTAAATTCAGTCAGTAAGGAATAATGAACCCAAGATTTTCAAACACAGATTTGGCAAGGGAAATACATTGAAGAGGTAAGTGAGGGAGGTTGGTCATATGAATAAAACATCCTCATTACTAAAGGGAACTTTTAGCAGTTAGGCCCCTGCCCTCCCATAGACAACTTCCTGCTTAATTACATTTCAAAGGGATCTCCAAATGAGGATTCATCTTGTTTCATTATAAACATTTTCTCTTTATAATATGCAGTCAATTAACTGTAAATTCATTGGGAGGTGGAACATATTAAATAACCTCTGGGAGAATTATTAAATGACTGCCATACAAAGTTAAAAAGGAAGATTATTGACAGCTGAGACACTTGGATGATAATTCTATTTAAAAGTATCAATTTTTTGTTGAGTTGTTTTTCCTTAGTTGCAAGTGCATGCACTTACATAAATATTGAGAGACTACATATTTCTTGTTGTAAAATAAAATACAAAAGCATCAACTTTTTGCATCAACTCAGAAATATTTATTATATTTGGAAAACATTGTAATCCTTTTGACTTTCAATTAAGTTGGTCAAAATGCTTTATGTTCCTTGAGAAAACGTGGCATCAGCTATTTTGTGTTTATGTGTTATATTAACCCATTTAAGGATTAAGCTGCAGGAAACTTTGTCAAAACAAGAGAACAGATAAAAAAAAAAGTTACTAAATAAAGACAGAGAATCTTTGATTTCTGAGGAGTAAGTATCAAAAAATTCCAAGTTTATGTGAAAATATGGCTAAAAATATAAATCCCCAAAGTTTCTCCTGAAGGAGATTATATTATTCCACCACAAAATACTCCTTTTTGGCAAAATGATTTTTCTGAGCTGAATGCAGACTGAGAATCAACAGACACAGGAAGAAGCCTTTCTTGGAGCTCTTTTTTTCTGACTAAAAATAGAGACTTGAGCAAGAACATGTATAAATCCCCTCTTCTAGGTGAATTTTATGACTGAAGATAGACTAGATAGACAAATAGACCTGCACAAACAAACTCTTACTAGATTAGGCCTTATCATTTATCCTCCCCTACATAAATATATCTTCTCACAGCTTGCCACCTCTGAAAGTCTAAACCTGTTTTCCTTTGCCCTATCACTTCTCCACACTTTATCCCTGTGTTGAGATGCTATAAAAGCCTAAGCTCTAGCCACCCCTTTTGAGTTACTCATCATTAAGTTCTCCCACATATATTACTGCACAGGTTAACAAGCTATGATTACTTTTTTTTTTTTTTCTTGTTAATCTCTCTTTTCTTACTGTGATATACAAGTTCCCTGTCAGAGAACCTAGGAAATTAGAAGATAAAGGCTTTGTTGTTTTCTCCTCTCTACTTCTGTCCCTAACCTCTAAACCTTGTTTTCATGATCTGCTGTCCTGGATAATACGTGTGGACCCTGTTCTGATACCAGATATGAATCAAGTCCACCTCAGAAGCTTCCCCTAAATTTTATACTCAGGAATAAGAGGTTGAATTCTTGGTGGGAAATCACATAAGTGGATTGATTTATACCATGGTACTCCTTTTCATAAAAATAAATATTTTAAAAAGTGGAGGCAGTAAGAATATTTTAAACTTTTCTATTTCATAAACAAGATAGCAACCAAGAGACTCCTTCCAGAATCTGGTTTATTTCTCTCAAGAGGACACAACAACTTCAAGGAGGCAGATAAATGGAGTTGAAATTTGAGGTGTCCGTCACTGGCCCCTCATTATAGACATTTGCTTCAAGTGTCTTTTTCTGAAGTGCTATTTTAAATTGTGCCAAATTTCATTGGTCAAGTTCCTTGTGTGAGTTCCACTCAGGACTCCAGAGTTGATGGGAAAATTAAAGACATTTGAGATTTGAAAGATGGAGAGGAAAGTCTTTCTGGAGATTCTGTTATTTGACTAAAACCAGCAACTTCTAGAAAGTGAACCTTCAGGGCAGATCTACTCCTAGGAAGAACACTGGAGATTAAATTCCAAAATTTCATCCTTAACAGTCTCAGGATACCCATGGTTCTTCATACCCAGAGAAGAGACTTATGCACAAGACTACTGCACTACTCATGGCATCATCAAGACTACACAGTGGTCTTCAACTGCCAGACTGACAACTTTTCTTCCCAATGTACTTGTCACCACTATTATCATCACAAACTTAAAAGGCCAAGCAATGACATTTTATTAAAGACCTTACACCATTGTTCCCTATTTATGAAAATGCCACCCATTGTCCAATCATGAAAACTGGTATACCTTAATTTTTATCATAAACTACCTATAATCTATCACTAATTCCTATTGACTTTATGTCCTCATTTAAAATCAAAGTGGCCATTTTTTATCTCCTTACTGGCCCTCCTATCTCCATTCCAGTTTGCAAACATCAACCAGAAAGATAATCTTATATAGAGGACATATAACTTTACTGATTAATATTCTTCTATAACAGAGATGTCCATTCATGCCAGACTCAGTTTTTCATGTGGAAGAATTTTCTAAGTGTGTTGTCCTGTCTGTGATCAGTGTAGAATTTTCAAAAAACAAGCTTGTGGTTTTGATAAATCTCTTTATTATCTTTTTTTATTTACAATTTTGTTCATTTCTATTATTTAGATTTAATATTTTGATCCTTATATATTTCTGCAGGTACTATATTGGCTATTTCTATATTTTTTAGTAAATTCCTCACTTCTAATATGAGTTTAAACATAAAATTACCTGTCTTGTTGCTCTCTAGATTATCACTCTCTGTCTTTGTCTTTGATTTTGATCAGTCTTAGTGTGAGGATCTTTGAATTTATCTTACTTGGAGTTTATTGAGTTTCTCAGATCTGAAGATTCATGTCCTTCATCAATTGTGGCATTTTCAACCAACCATAATTTTTCCTTTTTTTTTTTTTCTTTTCTCTCTTTTCTGGGATTTTAATAATGTGTATGTTAGTATGCTTTTTGGTATTCCAGGGATCTTTCTTACTCTTTACTTTTTGTTCATTTTTTTTTTTTTTCCTCTTCCTCATAAATGATCTCTATTGTCCAGTTTTCAAGTTCGCTGATTTTTTTTCTCTTTTGTCCTCTCAAATCTGGTATTGAATTTCCTTAGAGAGTGTGTTCATTTCATTTACTGTACTTTCAGCTCTGTGATTCCTGTTTGGTTGCTTTTAATCATGTCTAATTTTTTATAGATATTCTCATTATAGTTACACATAATTTTACTTATTTGCTTTAATTATTTGTCCATAGTTTCTCTAGCTCTTTGGCATATTAAGAAAGCTCATTTAATGATTTTTGTCTAGTGAGTTAAATGTCTAGTTCTCCTCAGGGTTAGGTTCTGTCAATTCACCTTTTGTCCTTTGAGTGGAAAATACTGTATCGTTTTTTGTGTGACTTAAATTTTGTTGTTTAGAAACAAATTGGATATTTGAATAATACAATGTGATAACACAAGAAGACAGTTCCTCTTCCCCTGGATTTGTTGGTGGCAGTAGATGAAATCTTTGATTGCCTTATTTTCTTTGAGACATTTCCAAACTCTTACTGCAAGAAATTTATTCTATCTCTCATGTGTGTTCACCAGAGTATCTGTCCTTTTATGTCAGTGATCATCAGGTCACCTAAGACATTTCCTTATGTATATGGAGCCAAATAGAGAAAAAGAAAAGATTACTCTACTGTTCTTTGCAGCATGCCCTGCTAATCACCTGACTGGGACACTGATTCAGTATTAAATGGACTCCCTACAGCTTTTCTTTTCTCTTCATCTCCCACTTGCAGAGAGTTCACAGATATGCCAGAGGTACAAATTTATCTTAGATAATTTTTGAGCAGGTGTCCAGGCCTGGGTAAATCCATTACACTTCCTCTTCCAAGTCCTTATTCCATAAGATATTTCCTCCTCTGCCGCCTTTTTTTTTTTTTTTTTCTCTCTCTCTCCCTTCTCCTGAATAAATTAAGACTGCATACCACTTGCTCCATCTGCCATCTCCTGGCCCAGGTGGGAACAGAAGTGGGCCTTTGAATCTTTTGGCAGATACCACCAACACTACTCAGATAGCTGCATCAGCCCAAGGTAGGTAGGAAGAGTCAATAAAACAAGCCTTAGCATCTGCATCAGTCCCTCAGCATTACACTAGGCAAGTCAAAATGCACAACTACAATAACTTGAGAAAAAAAAAAACAACTCATGCATACTAATGACCCGGCATTAGCAAGCTGCTGTAGGAACTCAGGATGCTATCTGGGGATTGTGGACACTACACTGGAAAATAATAGATGCTACACAGGTGAATGAAACTGCCAGAACTCTCTCTTATTAAAATTCAGTCACCCTCTACTCTACAAAGAAACTCTATGGTTGCTGGACATTTTGGATTAGATTTCAGAGTTTTAAAAATGTTGATTCTATAAGAGTTTACCAGCTTATGCTTGTTTTGTAAAAGGGCCAATTACATTAATGTTTCACTATGAAATTTGCAATTTTTACTTTTTATGTTACCTTTTTAGATGTTCAATGATGTTATATAAAGGATTTCTGTGTCTTTAATAATTTAAAGTACTTCTTGTAATGTGTCTAAGTGCTTGGTATATTAGTTCTTTAATTTTTATGGACATTTCCCCATGGTGTTTTTTTCTTTTATTGTTGTTGTTATTTAGGATAAGATTTTATTCAGTGAAGTGGTTTTATGCGTGTGTTTATAGGATCTTTTACAGCTGAACTTCAGGAGTTGCTTCAGTTTTGCAATTGCCAGGTTTTAAGTTTTATATAAAACCCTTAAATGATAAATTTTACATTCAGATAAGCAATATAAATTCAGATGCCACACCAATTTCATAATTAAGACTAGAATTTAGAGTATCCATGTTAAACTTTATTACTTTTTAACTTATGGTCTTGAGAATAACATGACTCTTCATTGTCTTTTTTGGCCATTAAGCGGACTTTTGTCTGGATTACTTTAATGTTTCTGTTATACAGGTGTCTCAGTTCTAACCTCAAACTCTATATTTCCTATCATGAGTATTTAAGTCCATTACTCTGTATAACACAGCTCTATCCTTCCTTTGTAGCTCTAAATTGTCTCCTTGTTTCTGATAGTAGGCATATCTTTTTCTTCTTTGCAGCTCCAAAGTGCACTTTTTAAAAAACCTTCAGTTGCACAACATTTCAAAGACTTGCACAGCAAAAGTTCTGCATAGCCTTGCCCCATTTTTCCTGAACCTGAAGAATTCTCATCGATTCTCCAACACACATGACTCTACTTCCACCCATATCACTTCACTGGAGCTATCATAGTCATTGTATCCTTCAAATTGTCAAGTTCAATGTCTTTAATGTTTTCATTTCATGGATCATGCACCAGCAATTGGTACAAGAAGTCATTATCTTACTTCCCAAATATATTTTCATATGCTTCCTTTTCCAGTATCTCCTATTTTTCTTTTACTTCTGGTTGTTCTATTTAGTACTTTTCAAGTCCCTCCCTTAATAATATTTGATTATTAAAAATTTTCTAGAGTTTGTTATTGAATTCTCTTTGTTTCTCACCCTATAGTATATTCTTAGGTATTCTTAAGCATCCTATAACTTCAGTGTATATATATATATATGGATCTAACTTTTTTTTAACTAGTACAAATATCTATGTGACTTTTATACAAAATGGCTTTGGGAATTTAAAACCAAATATTCCTGAACCCAACAATTATTTTCCTTTTCTAAAATTACTATTTTCCTTCCTTCATTTTAACAAATAGCAAACTTATCTACTCAATTCCTTTTGTTAGGGCCTTGGAAAAAATAAGTTATGCTTCTCTATCCTTCATTCACTTACTGCATATTAATCATCAGCAAAACTGTCCTTTTTTACATGTAATATACAAAGTTTCTACAAGACATATTAGAAAATATTTTCACAGTGTTTGTGAATGCAAAGGTTTCTTACAGTAAACATAAGAAGCATTAACATCAGAAAAATTTAAATGATAAATTTGATTTAATAAATATTGAAAACATCCATTCATCTAAAATAACTACTGAACAACTAAAAACGCAAGCCACATGCTCAGTGTATATACTACACACACATACAAAGAGGTATATTTAATTACACAGATAGATATTTGATTAAAGCACTTGTGTCCCCAGTATATAAAGAATTCTTGCAACTCAATACTAAGAAGTCAAAGAATCTATTAAAAAGGGCAGGCAACTTGACAGCCACATTACAAAGGAAGACATGAATAATAATAAATACATAAGTAACACATGAAGAGTCTCAACATCATGACTCATTAGGAAAATACAAGCTAGTATCACATAGATATACTCCTACAAACCCAGAAAGAAGGCTAAAATTAAAATTTATGAAAATTCCAAATATTGACAAGGATGTGGGATTAATCAAAGTCAAAGTCCATTGTTGGAGGGTCAGTAAGATGGACCAACCAATTTGTAGAAATATTTGGATCCTCATATTGATAAATACATGTAAACCACATGGCTTGATAATTAGTTTCCTAAGTATCCTACAACTAAATATTTAAGAGAAATAAGATTACATATCCATACAAAGATTTGGAAATAATTGTTCATAAAAAGTTTATTCATAGAATCCAAAATGTCCAAACATTGGAAACATCTTAAATATTAACCAAGAAGACAATGGATAAACAAAGTGTGATGTATTCATACACTGGAATACAGCTCAGAAATAAACATAAGCTATTGATACAATAATGTAGGCTAATCTTCCAAAGAACATTTTATTGTTTTTACAAAGTTAGACACAAAGATTTTATACTTTACAATTTCAGTTATATGGAGTCCAACAGTGGTAAATATAACCTATGGTGTTAGGAATCAGAGCAATGGGCAAAATTAACTGGAGGATGGCATGAATGAGTTTTCTGAGTGGTGGAAATATTCAGTATCTTGATTGTAGTGTGGTGGCTACATAAGTGTACACATTTGTGAAAACTCATCAAATTTTGCACTTGAGATTTATTAATGCATGCCTGCTTGCATGCTAAGTCACTTCAGTAGTGTCTGACTCCTATGACTCAAGGGCTGTATCCTACCAGGTTCCTCTGTTCATGGGATTTTACAGGCAAGAATACTGGAATGAGTTGCCATTCCTTCCTCCAGCGGACCTTCCTGACCCAGGGATGGAATTCACATCTTCTATGTCTCCTGCATTGGCAGGCAGATTCTTTGCCACTAGTGCCACCTGGGAAGCCCATTAATGCATAGATTTCTCCATAGATAAATTTCAGTGTGTGTGTGTGTGTGTGTGTAAATAAATAAAATTATGTGTAAAATAGGCAGTTGATAGTAACTAGTTAGGCAGCCCATACCCCAGAGATAGGGGTTCCAGAACATGCTCTGAACTTAGCATTCTTAACATGGCCTTTTACTGTCAACATCACCAAGTTCCTTTGTAGTTAGGAACAAAAAGAAGAAGGTGAAAATGATGATTTACATTATATAAATACAACTTTTAACTTTCTTGAAAATCTCATACAAAAAGTATAACTTACATGTAGTTGACTGCTCTTCTCTTTGAGAGAGCCAGGCAAATAAAATTTTAAAAATCCAAGCATAATATCACTCCCATTAGCATAGCAATCCTATTAAGTAAGAAAAAGTAAACAAAAATAAAATACTAATCTTTGTTGGACTTTTCACTCCCCCCATTGAAATTTTCAAATTGTCATGCACAGCTTTTTCATATATGTGACACATTTCACATATGACAATTTCCCCTTCTCCAAAGATGATAACCCCAAAGCCTCACCAATTTTTTGCATTTATCTTTGAGAAAAAGTCCAGAATTTCTGGGTAATGTAAAGACTTCTTATCTGTTTATAGCTCTTGATCCTGACTTTTTAAAATCTCTTCCAGACAAATCTAATATAATGTGGTTGAGAATAAACAATATAAACACTATGATAGCTTCATTTGGAAAATTGGAAGAGTGAAAACTCTCTCAGAAGTCACTAACTCATAGCTAATGCCATTCTTTGGGAAGAAATAGCAGACAGTTCTTTGTTTCATACTTTTTTGACTGTGATTCACACTTGTAGAAAACCAAGCAACTAATGAAGAATATTACAGGTAAGACAGATCGTGATCTGGGTCAATGTGAATTTAGCTAAACTTCGAATTGCATTTTTTCTGTCCTCTTCTTTAAGTGACACTTTTTCATTGTCCTCTTTTCCTTTTCCTTCTTTTATTTTTCCTCTGTATGTTAAAATTTTCTTTCATCATTGTGTGAATGCTAAGTCACTTCAGTTGTGTCCGATTCTTTGTGACCCCATAGACCGTAGCCCACCAGGCTCTTCTGTCCATGGGGTTTTCTAGGCAGGAATACTGGAGTGGATTGTCATTTCCTTCTCCAGGGGATCTTCTGGACCCAGGGATGGAACCCATGTCTCTTAAGTCTCTTGCATTGGCAAGCAGGTTCTTTACCACTAGCCCCACCTTAAGGCCCATGAAACCTGTTTCTGTGCAGATATGGTGATTGTATCATAAATTCTACCTCTTTTATTCTACTTCACTTCTGCCATCTGGTGCTCATGATAAATAAAAATAGGCATTGAACTTTTTTATCTTTCTGTTTCAAAGCATTCTCTATTTTGCCTTTGTTAGACTCATATATTTATTTCTTCAATTAACAAATTGTTGGATAGACCTTTTAAAGCAATGATGCTTGTCTTAGGACAGTGGGTATTTCTCCTGAGGTTCAAGATAGTGTGTATCAGCTTACTTTTCTCCTGGACTCCAGCTCAAATTAGTCAATATTTAGTGGTGTTTTCTTCACCATTCTTGATGTGTATCTTTCTTTCTTAATTTCACTTAAGTCAATTATTAATTTTTACTACTTTTGAATTATGTGTTACACTCAAAAGAGAAAGAAAAAAATAGCTTCCTTATTATATCAGCTTTAAATGTAAGACAAAGAAAGAGTTCTTAGCACTATTTACACTTTTGGATGAAGAAGCTTTCTAACCTTTCTAACAGCAGACTCACTGACCTGAGGCATGTCCATGCATTTCTGACAGGTTAAAAAAAAAATAACAACAACCTAATCAAGCCATGCTCATGGTAATGGCAGCATGTCAAATAAGCCACAAGAAAGCTATTCAGAAATATATTCAATTAAATAATTTAAAACTCCTTACATCAAGGCATCTTGAGTAAAACAAATCCCAGTGGGAGTCTCTTGGCTTACCTACTGAATCTGTTAATAAATATAGATTCCAGAACAGAATTGCCTTGTGGCTACCATTGACACCTGGCTGACCTAATTCTCTTAGTTTACAGAAGAGGGTAACTGGAGGAAATTTGCGGGAGCTGCACATATCTCCAGAATAGATTTTAAAATAATTTCTGTGACCTTCATTGTGTTCATGATTTTTAGGTATTTTATTGTAGAAAATACTGTTGCACTGAAATTTATTTTGTGTTTTTTTTCTTTATGCTAAATGATTCTTTTTAAACTAATTCAGTAGATTCATTTTCCTCAAAAATATAGAAAAAAATTCAATTTTCTCAGAAGAAAAGATTAAACAGAGTTTTCTGTCTTCAAAATTATATATGGAAATTTTGGATTTCACATTCATATTTCTATGTTGAACAAGATCTTAATCCATAACTTTAAAAGTTTCTAGTAGAAAGAACATTAAGCCTTAACAACAGTAAGAAGAATGTGAGAGGGAGATATATGGCCAGAGCCATCTTTTCACTGATTAAGAGCCCAGCTGCCAAATCACAATGGATCAGGAAATGGAATGCATTTCTTTCTCACTGTATAGAAACCTGAAAGGTATGAATTAAAGACTCCTTCACAGGATCAATAATAACAGCATTATAATTGGGGGGAACCCTAAATACTGAGGTGATAAAAATGTTATCAGATCAAGGAACTGAGATAGTCTATATCATGATGGTCATTTGTGAAAAGACCCTCAGTTAAGGTCCAAGGAAACACTCCAGAGAAGACTTCAAATTGCTTATTCTGTATTTTAGTGTCTGTGCCCATATCTCATACCTAGCTCAACATTATGTATAACTCAGAATATTTTCAGGTGCAGGTTTTAGAAATCCATATTAAACTACCTGAAGTTTCCAAATCAAATGAATAAAGAATAAAGGCCACATTTGTAAGTTATTATAACTTCCAGGAATCTGAAAAGCAGGAACCAGAAACACAAAGGTACAATCAACTAACATCAAAACTACAGAGATGAAACTGCAAGATGGGTAATTTCCAAAGTGAAGAAAAGTATTAATCTTTCCATAGACATGGAGCTTATGGCCAGATATGATACAAAAGAGGTGTTCACATTCTCAAGGATCTTAGTGAATTCTTACCAAAAGTTATATCAGCATCAATTATGTTAAATTAAAAAAAATCCCTAAATATATTACTTACTTAGGAAATTGTAATGAACTTGATGATTACCATGGAATATAGGAACATGGGCTTCCCACATGTCACAGTGGTAAAGAATCTGCCCACTATACAGGAGACATGAGTTTGATACCTGGGAGGGGAAGATCCCCTGGAGTAGGAAACGGCAACCCAATATAGCAAATTTGCCTAAAAAATTCCATAGAGAGTGATGTCAGGGGGCTACATTCCATGAGGTCACAAAGAGTAAGACATAACTAAGCATGCACACACACACAGGAACATATGTTGACCTTAATGGCATTTGAACTGAATAATTGGTTCCTTGACTGTAATCTTCTTTCAGAATAGTTTAGAAACATTGCTTTTAAAAGTTAAATATTGGTTCAGTTCCTTTTAGTCGTTCAGTTGTGACCGACTCTTTGTGAATCCATGAACTCACACCAGGCCTCCCTGTCCATTATCAACTCCTGGAGTCTACCCAAACCCATGTCCATTGAGATGGTGATGCCAACCAACCATCTCATCCTTCATCATCCCCCTCTCCTCCTGCCCTCAATCTTTCCCAGTATCAGGGTCTTTTCAAATGAGTCAGCTCTTCACATCAGGTGGCCAAAGTATTGGAGTTTCAGCTTCAGCATCAGTCCTTCCAATGAACACCCAGGACTGATCTCCTTTA